CAAAAGATGTCCTGATTTGGGTTTCGTAATTGTTTTGGATCCTTGGCACAAGAGAATATCTAATGAGCATGAGTGACCAGTGCACGGACGAGAGTCTCATCCACTCAGTGTCTACTGGCATTTGGGACACGAGGACCTCCGGGCCTTCCTGTCAGTCTGAATTCATAATTGCACATTTTGGGACTGGGCTGGGTGGACTTCCATGAGAGGCATGTTTTTCAAAGGAAAGAGGCCTGACTTTAAGCTCTGGTACCCCAGCCCTAGTAAAGCTGGGAGCACAGAGAGTCACTTCCATGACTATCTTGGTGTTTGGCAAGTAGACGATACAGTGCAGGACATGGCTATACAAAGTGCATCAGCGGGTCCCACAAAGTTGCTCTGATCTCCTCCAGCTAAACAGAATCACTTTCTTCCAAAACCTATATTGCTTTTCTGAACCTCTCTAATAGGATGCTTTGAATTATGGTTATTAATGTCTGTGACTCAACTCCCATTTCAGTCTGTGGGCTGTTTAAGGACACGGGCCATGTTTGAGTTATTCTTCCTCATAGAATCCAGAGCTTGACACACAACAGCAGATGCAGTGTGTGGCTGCTGCTGCTGCTGCTGCTGATGGCAGTGATACTGCTGTTGATGGTAGGGATGACGATGATGATGCTGCTGTTGGTGGTAGGGATGATGGTGACAGTGATGTTGTTGCTGTTGATGGTGGGACTGATGGTGATGGTAATGCTGCTGTTGGTGATGGGTATGATGACAGTGGCGAGGCTCTTGTTGGTGTTGGGGACGCTGATGGTGGCCGTGATGCTGCTCTTGATGGTGAGGATGAGGCTGATGTGGAGATGCTGCTGTTGATGGTGGGGCTGATGATGATGGTGATGCTGCTGTTAGTGGTGGGGATGATGATGGTGATGTGGGTGGCAAGGCTGATGATGGTGGTGGTGAGGATGCTGCTGTTGATGGTGGGACTGATGAGCATGATGATGGAGATGATGGTGAGGGTGATGCTGTTGATATCGGAAGTGATGGTGATGGTGATGATGCTACCGCTGGTATTGGGAGTAATGCTGGTGGTGGTGGTGGCGGCGATGCTCCCGTTGGCGGTGGGGATGCTGATGGTGGTCATGAGCTGCTGTTATGGTGAGGATGATGCTGATGGTGGAGATGTCGCTGTGGAGGGTAGGTATTTGGCAAAGGTGGAGATACTGCTGTTGGTGATGGTGATGTTGATGGTGAGGAGAATGATGATGGTGGCGATGCTGATGGTCCTTGCCATTTATCAAATACCTCCTCTGAGCCATGTGTTGAGCTAGGTACTTTTACCTACATTGTCCCTAATCCTCACATCATCTTTTAAATAAAAGAGAATTATTTTTGCAGTTTTGCAGGTGGTAAAAATGAGGCTAACCGCAGAAAGGTTAGATGAGGGTCTGAAGTTACACAGGCTACACAGAGCTGTGCTGATGAGGTTGGGCCAGTCTCCTATAGGAACCCTCTCTCTCGTTTGTTTTCTTCAGTTTGTGGGTAAGTAGGTTCTGTTTCTTCTTCTGTGGAAATGGAATGGGTTAAAGAATATGCCTAGAGCAATATCCTTTCAGCATAAATCTCAGGAAACTTTGGTAGTGGTTCTCAAATGCTTCACATACACAAGGTGGACCACACCATGGAGACCCAAACTGGATTTCTCTTGCACAAATGCTGGAAATTAGTCAGTGTGCCTGCTTTTAGGTTGCTAATTACCAGGCTTGGGCAGCTATAGTCTTAAAAATTATTCAGCATTATCTTAGGAAATCTTACATTATGGGTAAGTTGACTTGAGACTTAAATCATGTTTAAAATAGAGGGTTTGAAAATGAGTCATACAATTTTTAACTCAAGCTAAAAGAAAAATAAAAAGTACAAGTGGATGTATCCTCCTTAGTTGATCTACGGATTTCCTGACTGCTTAAAGAAAATGAAGGTATAAAAAGGTAAACAACAGTAATAATAGTAGTAGTATCTACGGATACTTCTGTGCAAGAGTCACTCACCTTGTGGCATTAGGTTCAATCCCACGCAGCTCCAGAGCCCAACACCTTCTCCTTCAAGACTTGAAGCCACAAAAGAGCAAGTCACTATGAAAATACTTTTTCTTCACTGCTCATATTCCCGAATTCTAGACCCTCTTGGTTATGGGATGGACACTCTCGCCCTGAGGCCATAAGAAGCTCTCTAGAGGGTGCCATGGTATTTGCAGTCATTTATAGAGCACCTGGGGTAGCTTGTGAAAACTGATGTTTGTTATTATTTCTACAGTCTCTGTTGTTTGTGCTAACTGCTGAAATATTCTTCCTCCTTTTCACTTTAATTTCATCCAGAGCACAAGTAAACCAAAAATAGATTGTTTATCCCAGTCTACTGCACAGATCACACTCTGCTGTGATTTTGCCATGAGTTGTGTTGAGCTTAGTATACCCTGGACTTGGAGCCTGCTTTAATTAAAGGCCCTCTGAGTGGGAGCTCCAGGTTAGACTACTTTTGTAGCAGAGGAGAGGTGCTTGCAAGCACATTAATGAGGCATTTGGATGTGAATCTCCAACCCCCAGCATGGTGACTTGACCAAGTGTTGAGAGACAGCCTCTCTGAAAGGGAATGCAGGCTGAGCTTAAGATTGACACTTACACCCAATTTGTGGGAAATTGCTGGAGGGACTGTTTGTTGTGGCAGCATTCTCTCTCTCTCTCTCTCTCTCTCGGACAGTTGATTAGTTGATCTTTGGAACTGGTCTTTGGAAAAAGCTACACAATCTGGATGATAGTTAAAGCCACATCATTTTAGAAATAATAATAAAAACCTTAGAGATAATGTCCAATTTCCTTCTTTGACACAAGAAAATTGAGTCTCAAAAGGGCAAGTTATTTGCCTAAGTTCATACATGAGAAATAAAGCTAGAACCTATATCAACCCACTTCCCAACTTCCAACTTGCTACCTAAAAATCTATCCCTGAAGATTGAATGCAAATATTTTTGAAAATAGCCAGACTTGGGAGTCTGAATCATTTACCTTAAAGTCAGTTATGGTTCACACCTTAACTAGATGCCAGAGTATGCACACCACTGACTCAACATGGATCATGTACCCCAAGGGGGTACAAGTGAAAAATATGGTTGACCAAGATTTTTAAAGTGTGTGGTCCATGGACCTATACCAGACCTCTAGGGAGCTCTGAGTGTGCTTCCAGGACAGCCTTGACTTTTTTGAACGTCTCAAAGTTGGAAATCATCTTGCTTCTTTATGAAATTTTGATGGATCTGAAGACAGTGATTTCTAAAGTTCTCCTGGAGATAAGGGTAACAACTGGGCTTTGATTTGTCTAGTAGTAGAAACAGTGTGTGAAGAGGATACATTTTCCTGGAAAAGTTTACTAAATAAATGAGGAGAAAATATAGGCAGAAGTTGTGAAATACCCTATAATCCAGGACATCGATTAGTAAATGATGTCATAAGTAATTATTAAATGAGTAATCCTCACAATTTCCCTGGTATAAAATATTGCAGTTAAAATAGCAGGATATAAAAATGTTGCAAATAATTAGTAGAGGAGTTGGAATAAAATAAAGACCTCTAGACAAAGTACTTGGAGCCTCTATTGAAGGCTGCTGAAAGGGAGGTTCCCTTATGGGAAAATGCTGCTTTTTGGAGTTACAATAAACACCAATCAATGCAGGCAAAATATTTTAATAGGCATTCATTTAGAGAAGATATATAAATGGTCACTAAGCTCATGAAAAGATGCCCCATATCATTATCATCAGGAAAATGCAAATCAAAATCATGAGATACTATTTCTAACTACTAGGATGGGTGTAATAATTTAAAAAAAGATGGACAATAACAGGCGTTGGCACAGATGTGAAGTTGGAATCCTCATATGTTACTGGTGAGACTGTAATATGGTGCAACTGTGCTAGAAAAGATTGGTGGTTTCCCAGTCAGTTAAACACAGAGTTACCATATGATCCAGCAGTTTCACATCCTAGGTATACAACCAAGACAATTAAAAATATGTGCATATAAAGACTTGGGCATGAATATTCACAGAGCATTCTTCAAATCATGGAAACAATCTAAATGTCCATCAATTGATAAATGAGTTAAAAATATGGAAGTTATATGCAACAGAATCTTTTTTCAGCCTTAAGAAGGAAGAGCATCTGACTTGTGCTGCAGCATGGATGCACCTGGAGAACAAATTGCTGAGGGAAATAAGCCAGTCACAAAAGGCCATATAGTATATGGTTCAGTCTACATGGAATATTCAAGATAGGCAAATCCATAGAGAGAATAAATTAGTGGTTCCTGAGGTAGGAGGGATGAAATGTTTCTTTTTGGTGTGATGAAAATATTCTGGAATTAGATAGTAGTGATGTTTACACAATTCTGTGAATGCACTAAAAGCCACTAACACATGTGAATTTCATGCCATGTGAGGATTATCAAAATAAAGTTGTTATTTAAAAATAATGTGGCCAGTCTCGGTGGCTCAGCCTGTAATCCCAGCACTTTGGGAGACTGAAGTGAGTGGATTGCCTGAGTCCGTGGGTTCGAGACCAGCCTGAGCAACTTGGCAAGATCTTGCCTGTACAATAATAATAATAAAAACAATTAGCCAGGCATGGTAGTTCCAGCTACTTGGAAGGCTGAGGTGGAAGGATTGTCTGAGCCCTGAAGGTTGATGCAGGGGTGGCCGTGAGCATGCCACTGCACTCCAGTCTGGGCGACGGAGTGAGACTCCAACTCAAAACAAAACAAGAATAAATAAATAAAAATAATGTAAGAATGACTATGAAATATGGAACTTAATCAGAAAGAAAACCAGAATCCTACTTTGGGTTTGTATTTTAGAGATGACCAATGCTGTGTAAGTCCTTGAAAACTGAGGCCAAAGGTCATTTTAATGAGTTGGCCCTGATGATAAGAGTGTGACTGTTGCCCTGTTTTGCTCTCCTGCACCTCCAGGGTGATGACCCCTTTCCAGAGAGCATCCTGACCTATGTGGCCCACACATCTGCACTGACCTACCCCCCTGGCCCCCGAGTCGAGCTTCCTGAGGACCTCTCACTGCGGACACTCAGCCAACTCCAGCCGGACGAGCTTAGCCCTAAAGTGGACAGCAGTGTGGACAGACATCACCTGATGGCGGCCCTCAGTGCCTACACTGCTCAGAGGCCCCTCGTGCCTCCCAGGGACGGTGACCTGGGGCCACGGTACCTTCTGCGTGCACCCCCAAGAATATCCAGGCCCCTCTTGGCAGCTGTTGCCCCCCAGAAGTGGCCTTCCCCTCCAGGAGACCCCACAGATGCCGCCAGCAAGGGTGAAGGTGAGTCAGCCTCCCTGGGTACTTCAGTCATTTGCTTCCTCTGTCTGGCTCCCTCCAGCTCCCTTGTGCTCTTTCCCCATTGGGAGGGCCTTCACATCGCACCTCCCCTTAAGAATCTGTGGCACGAACAGGGCACAGTGTGATGACAGTCTCTTTGGTTTTCACATCTTCTCGGTGACAGGGAGGAGACAGCAGTTGTCTTCATGCCCTGGGAGCATAGTGGCCAGGAGGATGGGGAGGGAGGTGCACCTGAGAGTGTAAGATAGTTCATGTTCGATCTCACTTCTTGCCCATGCCTTCTCCAGATTTTACAATTTCAGGATTTTGTTGAAGCTGACAAATGGGACGGGGAACATGCTCACAGGACGGATCTTGCCCACAGCTTGTGTTGTCTGCATTTGTTTTGGAAAACAGATGATGGATGTATTTACTTATTTATACTTTTTTATTTTAAAGATGTGGGGTCCAATTCAGGGTTAGGTATACAGATGTTCATTATGCAGGTACCCTTGTCCCTTGTTGATGAGGTGTGCCCCCCTTCCCCTGGAAGTTTCCCACTATTGCCAATCCCTTTCTTACAGTATTATGATAATTGTTCAAGGTCTGCTTCTGAGTGAGAATATATGGTACTCTGTTCTTTGTTTCTGTGATAGATCACTGAGTATGATAGACTCTATCAAGTTGCTGCGAAGTCCATATGTTTGTCCTTCTTTATGGTTGTGTAATATTCCATTGTGTATATGTACCACTTTTTTTTTTTTATCCAGTCCAGTTTCAATGGGCAGCATGGTTTGTTTCGTGTTTTTGCTATTGTGAACAGTGCTGCAATAAACATGTGTGTGCAGGTATCCTTTTTGTAGAATGATTTTAGTTCCTCTAAGTATACTCCCAGTAGGGAGATTGCTGGGTCCAATGGAAGGCCAATTTCTAGTTCTTTTAGATCTAGTCCTTTGCCACAGGCCACACCTCTCCTTCTGGCCAAACATGTGACTACTTCACATATTTGTCATGATTTTCTGTGTCTCAAGAGCCTCAGTCTGAAGTTAATGCAAAGGGTGTCATTTTGAAGTGACTGTTGTGCCTACACCATCGCTTCCAGTATTTTTACGTGTTACAACCACGTTATGAGCAGCCCAGAGGAGAAGGGTATTTACTGGTTCATGCTCCTCTGCAACATTCAGATAGCTCTGATCTATTTATTTTCTCACGTTTTTTCCTAAGTCCATCCTGAAGTGGAATTCTGATAAAATATGACTCCTCCTTTGGAGACACAGAAATATTAAAATCAAGCATATAGCAGTTTTTACAAATATTGACTGAGAATCACATTAATGTGGGTGCTCTCTGTTTCCTTAAGTGAATGCTTAATGGGGGCTGCTGTGAAAGTCTTCTTTTCCACTGTCTGCATTCAGGTAGCTTTCTCTTGCTCACTCTCTCTTTGTTCATATAGCCATTATGGCAATTTCTAAATGGAAGAAATATGAAGTTACATTTGGGGGAAGGACATGTGACCATTACTGATGCTTTCTTATTTCTGTCTTGGAGGAAAAAAGGCATATGAGGAAACAGATTGTGCACTTGAGCAAGAATTGTTTGCACATAAATATGCCATTATTGAGGGTGGTGTTTATCTACAGGAGGTTGCTATCCTGGAACAGTGCCTTTTTGCCTAGCATTTGGGGCCTGTTTCTCCCCTGTTTTAAACCATACACTACTCTGAGAAATCCCTGTTACCTTCTGCACTCCCATTCATGACTAGACCCTATCAAAGCGGCCCTTACCTGCTCACTTGCCTCTTGTGTGGTCACCGTGTTACCAGATCTGCCCCAGCTCAGTGTGGCCTCAGCCCTTGGCCATGAATACACTGCTGAAGATCACCTTCAGCACCTCCTCTTCTCAGCCTTCGTGACCTCTCCATGGTGCTGACTGCCCACCTCCCTGCTCCTTCAGTATCTTCTCTTCTGGGCCGTCATGCCCTCTCCAAGGTGCTGACCGCCTCCTCCCCGCTTCCTTCACCACCTCTTCTTCTGGGCCTTCGTGCCCTCTCCATGGTGCTGACTGTCTCCTTCCTGCCTCCTTCAGCACCTCCTCTTCTGGGACTTGGTGCCCTCTTCTTGGTGTTTACCATCCTCTCCCTACCTTCTCCTTCAGCACCTCCTCTTCTCTGCCGTCTGTGTCCTCTCCAAGGTGCTGACTGCCCCTCTGCCTGCCTTCTTCAGCATCTCCTCTACTCAACCTTCTGTGTTCTCTCTGTGGTGCTGACTGCCCTTCTATCTTCTGTCTCCTTTAGCATCTTCTCTCTTCTGCCTTTGTGCCCTCTCTATGGTGCTGACCCACTTTTCCCTGCCTCCTCCTTCAGCAGCTCCTCTCTTCAGTCTTTGTGCCCTCTTTGTGGTGCTGACCGCCCATCTACCTGCCTTTGTCAGCATCTTATCGCCTTGGTCGTTGTGCCCTCTCCATGGTGCTGACCACTCATCTACTGGCTCTTGTGCTCCTTCAATTGACGTCTCTGATTGACCCTTTCTTTCTCTGACCATCCCTCCCCTGTCTCCTGTTCATCTTCCACAACTTAAAATTCCCATTTATTAATGGCCTTTCCCCTAGTTGTTAGAAATAGGAAAATTAAAGTACTAATACCCCTAGGGTCTAAAATCTAACTGAAGAGCCAGGGTGTGTTCACAACTAGAATATGACAAGCTCTACCTCTTTTCTAGTGCTGTTCCTGCTTCTCAGAATGACCCCCCCCCACTGCCTTGGTACCTTCCTGGTCCATCCCTCACACCTCCTGAGGTGTGAATCTTTAGAAACATGCTTTTGAAAATGCTCTCTCCATCTCTCCATGATCCTTATTATTTACATCTTTTTCTTGGTATTTTCCTGTGCTACCTTACAATGTGGGTTATCTTTTTATGTAGACTCTCTTCCTACCTGCTCTGTATGCTTTAAAAAGCATTATGTAAGATGTCAAACACAAAGTAGAGAGAAGTGTTCAGTAATCCCCATGCCTGTGACACCCAGCATTAACAAACAGCGACTCAGGCTTTCCTGCTACTCTGTGCCCCCAACACTTTCCTGCTCTGTCTTGGGTGATTTTAAAGAAAATGCAGTCATCGAATAATTTCATCTGCCAGTATTTCGGTATTGCTGAAAGATAAGAATGCTCATGTAAACCTAACCACAATAGCTTTATCACACCAAAAGATTCATAATAATGTCTTAATTTCACCAAATATCTGTTCAGTGCTCGAATTTCCCAGTTGTCATGCATTTTTCACAGTTCATTCCTTTGAAGCAGCATCTACAGAAGGTCAACTGAGTTGATCAATGGGTCTGTTATGCCCCTTTGAATCTACAGGAGGCCCGTTCTCCCTCTTTTTTCCATGAAGTTCCCCCCATCCATCAGAAAGTATGTTTTTTTCTCACAGAGTATTTCACATTCTGGATTTTTCAGATCATATCCCAAAGATATTTAACTTGTCCTTCTGCTCTGTTTCCTGTGAGATAGTAGCTTGACCCAGAGTTGTGACCATGTGTCCTCAGTGTTTCACAGGAAGACCTAGAAGGAGCATCCATCCTCTGTGAGAAGGTGCACATCCAGCTTTATTTCACTTCAACATACTAGTAACTGTGGATCATTCAGCTCCCTGATAGATTTCAACCTTATTATTCACCTACTGCTTAGGGAAATTTCTCCTGTTCCCTCCACACTATGAACTCCACCCCATCCCCATGCCAAAGGAGGCACTTGGGATATGCTTATGCTGTTGAACATTTGTGTGACTATTTGATAAATGTTTGTCTCTCTTATAGACCTCAAGCTTAATGAAGACAACAAGTTATGCCTTGCTTTTCACCATTTGTATACCAGGGGTTTAGCTTGTTCCTGACACTGTATTTTCTGAGTGAATGAATGAATGATTTTTTTCACATCCATGATCTTAGTTGCTCTTCATAGTAGCCTCATGTGATGGTATTATTAGTAATCTTATTTTCCTGGTAAGGAAACTGAAGCTTGGGAGACCAAATGATGGCATCTAACAAAAATTTTATATCACTTAAGAGAAAGTTAGAGCTCCTAAGAGCCTACTACCTAACATACAAATTTAAACACAGTTTACTTTGTTACTCTGGCTAATTGGTCCCAGATTCTGATGTTTAAAATGGTAGTTCAGCTCCAAAATCCTATCTTTCTCTGATTATGCATTTTGTGCAAAGTTATATGCTAAGCCTTTACAGAGGAGCCAAGAAGTAGGTGAGGTTGGCTCTGTACCTCCTAGTACAGCTGTGGAGGTCAGAGGAGATGCCATTCCAATGCTTCAGATTCTAGGAGACTCTCCCCCTGGAGGAGGAAGTGCCATCTAAGATAGGAGGGATAAAGATTTATATCCTTGCAATATTTAATGACAAACGAAAAGAAGAGAAGTTATCAACTCAACCCCTGGCAACCACTGACCTTGTCACTATCTCCATAGTTTTGCCTTTTCCTGAATGTGGTATATTTGGAATTATATGCTATATAGCCTTTTCAGAATGTCTTCTTTTGCTTATTAATATGCATTTAAGCTTCCTTCATCTTTCCTTGGCTTGGCATTTCTTTTTAGTGCTGAATAATATTGTATTATTGCAATATTATCCATAATATTTCATTGTATAGGCATGTCATAGTTTATTCACCTATTCACCTATTGAGGAATAAATTTTAACAATTACAAATAAAGCTGCTATAAACACCTTTGTGTAGGTTTCTGTGTGGACATAAGCTTTTAACTCTATTCAGTAAATACCAAGGAACATAATTGATAAGAGTGAGTAAGTAAGTGTATGTTTATTTTGTAAGAAACTGCCAAACTATCCTCCAAAGTGACTGTATCTTTTGCATTCCCACCAGCTATCAACTGGAGTTCCTTTTGCTCCACAACCTTACCAGCATTTGGTGTTGTCAGTATTCCAGACATTGGCCATTCCAATAACTGTGTGGTGGTGTCTTGTTGTCATTTTAA